GGTCAGGAAAGGATAACGACTATGGTAATCTATAAAAATATTGCAGTGATTGCTCTGGAGGGGACTGGTTGCCAAGTATATTAAGTTGGTCTTTAGAGCAAACTAGTACTGATTACCTAACTGACCAGCAGTAGCTCTTCCTAGATCTATAGTTCCAACACTATACAACATGGGCATATGTTGAAACTCGTATTTACTTCAAGCAAATGAGTTGCAATCTAAATAGACATTAGGAAGGAATTAATATTCTGACTTTTGTTTTGTCCAAATCATTGGTTTCTGATAAAACTACAGATTGTAGCCTCCCTGCTAGATGAGATCATAAATCATACCTATTCAATGAAGTTAGATATAGTCACATGAGGTTAGATATGGTGATTTCCTGACTGCAGATATGTAACATGGCAAGGTATATTCTTGCAAACCTCCGGGACTGATTATTTGATCCCTGCATAAATATACTCTTTCAATTAATTAAATCAGTTTCCTCCTAGTCGTTACCCATTTTACTGCATATTTTAACTGCAGCTTGTGTATTTTGGTTTCCTGTTTTGTTACCTATGATATTCACAACTGCTTCTGTTACTTAGATATCCAGGCACACAGTTGATGCATAATATGTACATTTTTAGCTGTTTTGAATTTAGTGAGAAGATTTTATACCTCTAGGAGATTTTTCATGTATGAAAAAATATGTCCCTGAAATTTGAACATTATAGCAGAATAAACTGCAGCAATATTAAGAACTGTAATCAGATCTTAGGCAGGATTTATTTCTTCTGATTTGAAAAAAACTGGCCTGATGAGAGAATTTGTTTTCTTTAGCTTAATGTTTGTGTTCAGAGTCTTTGTTTGTTATTGGGGAATATTAGTTTAGTTTCAAGTAAAATAAAGGAATACAGAATAATTTTTCTAAAATCTGTCTTACTATTACTACAGCTGAGTCAGGAATGTCAAAACACTTCTGGGTTGAAAGGCTGGAATGGTGACATCATCGCCCAGCTGACTCCTTTCATCCCACCAAAGTGTTACCTATCTATCTACTTGCAGTTGCCTGCTTTCAAACTACTGGATAACAGGAGCACACTGTGGGTCTCAAACACGAGCAATTGGGTCTCAAACACGAGTCTGGACAGTTGTCAACTAAACATCCTAACCTTGTGAGCCACTGTGCTCCTGTATCAGGATTGCTAAAAGTGATCTATCTACCATGGTTCCCCGAAAGTAAGACCTACTCTGAAAATGCCCTAGCTTGATTTTTGGGGGTGGGCCTAACATAAGCCCTACCCCAAAAATAAGCCCTAGTTTGGGGGCGAAGCACATACCTAAACATCAAGTTAGGGTGGGGGTGTGGAGCTGCCCCATGTGCCCTGCACCCACTTACCTTGCAGCCAGGCCTCTCTTTGCTGGTCCACTTCTTCTGCAGCTACCCCAAGCCTACATTTCACAGTCAGAAGCCTTTCTGGAAGGCCACTGCAGCCGAAAACCGAATTATGGATTCAATCCATAGCTCGGTTCTGCAAGGCCTCTATAGCTGAGAACTGAGCTAAGGACTGAATCCATAGCTCGGTTCTCAGCTGCAGTTGCCTTCTGGAAAGGCCTTTGACTGCGAAATGCTGGCCGGACATCCATTCTCAGCTGCAGAATGAAGCTGCTCCATCAGCTGCAGAAGTGGATTGACTGGGTTGGGCTGTCGGTACTGGAGGTGAGTGGAAAAGACCCCCCCTACCAAAATAAGACCTGGTACCTCTTTTGGAGCCCCCCCCCAAAAAACCGGATCTTATTTTCGGGGAAACATGGTATGTTTGTGTACATGAATACTTAACGCCAACAAATGTGCATAATATTTGCATATGTGTCCTGAGACAGCATCACTGCAAAACATAATAGTAGATCCGTAGCTTTGGGGGGGGGGGGGAAATGATCATGGAGTGTTATAATAATAAATGAAAGCTAGAACATACTTATCTAGTTTCCATAACCTAACTGCTTTTTTTCTGGCACTAAACTTCATTAATAAGACTGTGAATCCAACTTCCTTGGTGTGCTAAGATTAGGGGTTTGACAGTAATCTTGGAAAGTGGATAAGTATACTCCAGCCCTCATTTATTAGTGAGTATATTACTGAGGACTCTCTGTGAGCTGCTTGATCCTTTTTCTCACAATTGCCAGTAGGGTATAGAATGGCTTATAAAAAAATCTACATTGGATAAAGGCATACTTACAGGGAAGCTAGTTTTTGAATTAATGTTTCATTAAAATAGCCATCTTTAATTCAGAACTGCATGCTACCATTATGCTCAACAGAATCCTTATGCATGGAGGTAGCATTCATGCAATAATGTACCATTCTCTAAACAGAAAGCTTGTGAATCTCATTAGTATCTAATATAGCTATAAAGTATCTAATATAGCTATAAAGTCTCAAGCCAACATCCCATTGTTCTAACTGATATACTGTACCCAGAACACAATACTTTCTTATATAAGCTCACTTAGCACTCACAAAATCACCACAATGACCCCAGAAATTGTTCCCCTATTATCATGAATGGATTTGATACAATTTTATAATTAACTTTCATTCTGCAGTCTCCTGACAAGTATGACAAGCAGTGCAGTATAACTTTATTGCTGCATATACTACGGGCCATTAAATGATCTGAAATAGCCTTTTCTTGGTCCAGCAAGTATCTACTTAAGCTACACATGCAGCATACTACATAATAGATAGTATACTGCATGTGGATTCTTGGTTTTTAGATCTTTTTAATTTCTTGTAGAAGAGATGCTACAAATATTTATTTTTCTCACTTCTGTTCAGTTTTCTGTTTTCTTTCTTCAATTGTCTTCTATTCTTCTATCACAGGGGTGTCAAACTCAATTTCATTGAGGGCCGCATTGCGGTTGCCCTTGGGTGGCCAGGTGGGTGTGGCCAGGGTGGGTGCGGCCTACTGGGTGGGTGTGGATGGAGTGGGTGTGGCCTACTGGGTGGGCATGGCCAGCTCTACATCATTTGCGTCAAGGCTGCCTGTGGGAGCCTGGGCAGGAGTGGGACAGATCTGAGGGTCTCTGGCAGAAGGGAGTGGGACCAGGGCAAGTGCCAAGGCATGGTCCATTTCTTCATTCCTCACAAAGGGTGACACCTCCCCAGCATGCACCCAGAGAGTGGGGCCAACGCAGTAGGGGCTGGTTCCTCGCTGTTTCTGGACGGCCTTGTGGAGCTAAGACTGAATGCATTTCAGCAAAGATGGCCACCACAAAATTGTACATTGGCTCCCAGCCGGCCTGGGCCAGGGCCAAGGCAGTGGGGGCTGTTCCCTCACTGTTTCCAGGATGGCTTTGCGGGCCACATGAAACCACTTCACGGGCCGCATCCGGCGCCCAGGCCTTGTGTTTGACATGTCTGTTCTATCAGGTCGAAATTCTAAGACAAGTTCAGAGGCTGCAAAAAGAAAGCCAGAATAAATGTAATATAACTCCCATATTTCAGAAGGTTTTTTTAAACTTATGGTACTACTAAAATTTGGCCTATGTATTATAAGATCATGTATTAACTTGTCACTAATGGAATTAGTATCACTCATTCAATTAACTTTTCAAGTAATCTCTACGCTAGTAAAACATTTCATGTAATATGATGTCCATGTGTTATATATTTAAATTCTTTTTGAAGATTTAGTTCAAACATATCCCTTGTGTAGCCTGTATTATTAATCTGAGAAACATTTATGATGATCAACAAGTAAACTGTGGTATATAAGGTGTTTTCTTTCTAAAATTGAATTGGCTAGTCTGCAATTAAAAAAATATTTTATGAATTTAGGTAACCTGATTCTCAAACTATTTCAGAAAAATCAGAATTTTTTTATGAATAACATTTTGAGAATAACTTACCATGTGCAACTAAAGAACATTGAGGACATTTTATGACAAATATTCAGTGTGTCACCTGAACTAAGATTCCATCAGCAATCTATTAGGAAGTATAGACTTATGCTTCATCTTTAAAAGTTTGTTTTGAAAATGTTATTGTCCTGCTCCTACACGTTTTTGTATGTTTCAAAACTCTCCAATAACATTCAATACTCTCCAATAAAATTTAAGCTTGTTGCCGTGCTCTGCTCAGGATACAACAGAACAGAATAGAATTCTTTTCAACTGGTATGAATTTATGACAGTTGCAGCATCCTAGGGTCATGTGATTGCCATTTGTAACTTTCACAGCCTGCTTCCAACAAGCAAAGTCAATGGAGAAGCCAACAGGAAGTCACTGTCACATGACACTATGCTTAATGTATCAAGCAAAGTACCATAAAAATGCTTAAGCTGCCATTACCCAGCCATTGTATAGACATATTTTTGTCTTGTGGCAAAATGAAAACAGAAAATAGGAAGCTTATATTCTGGCAAAATATTCTGAAGCCAATGCCTGTAGAACATTTTTTTCTCATTGTTATTGTATGATTATATGGTAGATTTATTTACTTATTTAAATGTTGAGACTACTTGACTCCCCAATGACTTTGGATAGTTTATAAATGAAATAACAGATATAAAAAAGAATATGGCTGACCACAAGAACAAACATTTAATCTTTGGTTAAACTAAACTAACTAAAAGGGGATAAACAACCATCTTCTCCCAAGGCTTGAGAGATTCAGCCAGAATAAATTATACAAAGATCTGTAATACGAGTTTAAGACATAAACATCATTACCCCTGCTCCCCAAATTATTTTAATTTCTACATGCTGCTAATCTTTCTCTGAAACTGCCTTGTGATTTCTAGGGTGTTGAATATAGTTGTTACCTCATAACACATTTTGGTTGCAATTTATAATTGTATATTAATGCATGACCCACCAATTATTGGGCAGCTTTGTAAATTCCTGCTAAGATAATCAAGGTTAAATGAGGATTAGGTTTGCAGTTAAGAGGAAGCTGACAAGTTCACCATATCAGGTGACATGATATTTTTCTTTCTTAATATTGGCACAGGCTTAAAAAGCAGTTGGAGAATTATAAAGCCGATGAAACGGAAAATGCCTGTGAGGCTCTTCAAATGGAAATTGAATTTCTGCAGATGGTACACTCTTTTAACTTAACATGTATCATTATGGTGTGAGGTGGGGAAATAGATTCTATTATCTTGCACATAAAATACTTCTTTATAAATAGTGTACTATCAGGCAGGTAGATCTACAGGCCTTACAGACAGTTATCTGTATTTCCCATTATACACATGTCACTCCTTTTACTAGAATCAGTATGTTGCTCAAAAGTAGTTTCTGGAAAGATAGGAAATCCATTTTCTTGCTTGTAGGTTATCCTTAGATATCAGATTGGTCTTTGTTTTCCATCTTGGGTAATTCTGTCTATTTACTTTCAGTGCTCTCATGCAATTCATTGTTCGGGATAGACATTCAACTCAGTCTGGAATATCTGAGCCCTTTAGTCCTTGTTAGTGTAACAGCTTCAAAATAAACATTTGTAAGACCATGAAAGAGTAATCTAAACAATGGACAGACCACAATAAAAATGGGAACATGAGGCAATTATATTCATAGCAATGCAATCTGATGTCATGATTAAGAGACCACAGCAACTAAAATAACTGAAAACTCAGTTATAAAATAGCATAGGATTTTGCTTTTAAAGCAATGATGGCCAAATTACAGGATGGAGAAGTTGATTGGGCAATTTGTTGTTCTTCCACTTTTACTATTCCTTTCCCTTCTCTATCTTAATCAATCAAGACTTTTAACCCTGTTCTCATTCAGACTATCTAGCCCATAGCAGCTTTAGTCTCTTTTTCACAGGCTTCTACACATACATTGACTGACAACTGGTTTCTTAAGAGACCATTTAAAGTTACGATGAACCCGCTCCGCCAAGGTACTTATGACCTTGTTCCAAAGTTCTAATGGCCAGCCCCCTCCTCATGGTTACGGGACCACATTTAGGGCACTTCACCACCAGCCTACCTTTTCAGCTGTTTGCGGCATCCATGGTGACATGATCGTAATTTACAACCTTTTTGTCAAAAAATATTAATTTGCAGTTTTCAGTAAAAACGCCCCATAGCAAACAATGGGTTTGCTTAATGACCATGGTGTTTGCGTAACAAATGTCACAAACAAGGTTGTAATGTCAGGTGAGTCATGTGGGTGACCTGCTTTACAACCGTCACGCCTAATGGCCATAACAGGCAGGGTCTGTTATGGTTGTAAGTTGAGGTTCATCTGTACAATTGCTATAGAGAGCAGCAGCCTCATCTCTTGTATACATTTCCAGTGGCAACAGGAACTCTAGCTATAAGCAACTGTAATACACAAAGGAGAAACCCTTTATATACTGGTTGAAGATGCAGAGACAGATGGATGATACAGAAGTGATTTAAGAAACGAGATAAAGCTATTGGAGTGCATTGCTTGTTGTATAAGTTTATTATATAACAGCTATTTATTTCATCACTAGAATATCTAGTTAATTAGTACATTTCTAATTGGTAGAAATCCCTTTCTTCCAAAACAAAATAATAGAACTCCCAACCTCCCTCTTCCCCTTCAAGCTGAAAACAGTTCCAGCTATTGGTTATTCATACATACTTCTTTCATCTGCAAAATAAAAGAGATACCTGCAATCTACCTCGTAGTTGTTCCAAATGATAGAGAGAACAAACTCCTCCATCATATTCAAACTGACAAAAGATAACTTGGCTTCCTTTAATGTGCTGCTCATGAAATCAAAACCTTCCATCAAATGCTAGATGCAAGAAAGCAGTTATAAGAAAATGATTTGCAGATCCCAGACTATTTCCTTTGTCTCTTCCATAAATAATCTATCAGTAGTGATGGGGAGAAGGGCAAAGTCCCCCAACCCCTTTCTGCTTACAATTCAACCTGTCAGCACTCTGCAGAATTTATTAGGGATTCAGGTTTATGTTAGTAAATGTCAAGTAAAAATTAGTTTGTTGTTCAGTTTAAAGAAAGGAGCAAGGAACTTTAGACAACTAATAATTCCCACTCCGTTTTCTTTTTTCTTTTTTTTTCCCTTGCAGGAATTGTTACAAAAAAAGTCTTCAGCCAAATAAATAACATATTTTGAACTGACTCAAATGTCAGAGGAGCAGAATATTGTAGTATTTGGAAAAATGCTACTTTTATCATCCTTATTGGTTAAATTTATCATCCTCTGCTTTTCCTGCTAGCAGAGCAAGGAGTCTGCTTTTTCACTACACATATTGTATCTTTGCTTCTGGATATTTATTACCACAAATGTCTAACAACTGTAAACAAATCATTTTCTTTTCGCACAGTGGGATTTTTCCTTGGCGATGTTCCCATTCCCATATTCAACAGTAAAAACCTGTCTACATTCTGTTTTTATCAGTTGTGGCAGAGGCATTAACAGTTTCACACAGAACATAGACATTATCGTTGTCATGTAGTACAGTTTTTAAAAAAGTTGGAAAATATAAATGAAGCTGACGCTTCTGGGACAGTATAACTTGCTATTTTTTAATAAGTTTCTCCTGACATTTAAATGTTTTCTTTCTTTAAGGTTAAATAACTTGTGAAACTTTGAATTTCACAACATCTCCAATGTAATTTTATTCCAGTTTTCACATATCTGTACTTACGTTGCCATGCTACTTTATCATTTTTATTACGAAATCAATTGTTACATAAATAGCCAATATTTATACTAATATATATTTCATGGGGGAGGGGTTAACCAATGCTCACAATTGGTACTTCAATTCATTTCACCAGCTTGAAATTTCCATCTTTCTAAACTGTTTAGTATTGAAGTTCTCACATGTTAATTGTATATTTCTAATGTAATATAGAATTGATCAATTTGGCAACATATAAATAATTGTGATAATAAATAAATATGGCCAAGTTGTGTTATATTGTGTACAGATTATGCATTGCTATGAGCAATAACTATTAATGGTTACGCATGTTTTACTATGGTAACCTTTTTCGTTTGGTCTATAACCATTACCTAGTTGATGAGCAATTACAATTTTTAAAATATTCCTGAAGACAATTTGTTTTGGTAATTAAAGATAATATAATACATGAATAGGTCAAAATTATATAAAATTTTATATAAATTATATAAAAGTTGAATTATATAAAAGTTGAAAGTTGGCCCCTAACAGTTTAGATTACAGTTTGCATTGAACCAATTCAGTTTTGTTCTGTACCTCTGTTTAATGTTAGGCTAAATTTATAGTCTGAAAGATAAAAGGTTAATTAATCATGCAAGGTTCATAAAACCAACCCTAATAATTCCATGGAAGTTCACACCTGTTCCATGTAGTCTAGGAATACCACAGGCTGTTCACAAAAGAAATATTCCTTCTCAAAAATATTTGGTCTTCCAAACATCTTAATAGTCTTTGTAAATACTTGTTTTAAATAATATTTTTGCAGCTTGTTTTCAATCCAAAAGATGGATATTTCACCATACATTAGTTTTTGATCAAAGGGCAGCAATCTTTAGAGCCAGGCATACTAATGGAATTCTGAAGACATGTTATGGCCATTCTCATAAAGTGCATAACATTGGGGGGGGGCTTATCTATTCACAAAATGGTAATGTAGGGAGTCAGTACCCACTCCCCAGAGAATGAAATATTTGGGGGGATATTAAAAAAGGCAGGATAGAATATTTCCCCTAAAGGAGAAAAATCTTAAGGAAGGTAGAAACCAGCCTCAGTCTCTCTTTCCTCAGGCAGAAACCTGAGGAGGCCACTCTTTAGAAATGCAGATTTGGTAATCCATTCAGAAATACTGGGGCACAGTATTCATAAGCAAAACGCTTTCAGCATCCACTTTTAATACCAAGCAGGTATTAAAAGAATACCTGGTAAATTCATTTATTCTCTGAGCAATGTATTTATAGAAATAAAATAACAGTTATCCTATCCATTTTCATAATGTCTATATCCTGTTTTTTAATTTTTTATATAATACAATGTTCAAGCAAAATTTAATAGACTTTCAAAATCAGTATGTCCATGAATTTTATTTTTCAGACAAACAAAATTATGGTCCATATCAATCATAGTGAATGGAAGAAATAAAACATCAGTGAAGAAGAATAGAATTATGATCCCAAAAACATGTATGAGGGGCACTTAATTGATGCAAGTGTGTTGTATATGCAGATGCTGAAATTAGCACCATTATCTTACTCATACAGAAATCTCAGGCTCATTTAATCTATTTGTGCACAAAGCGTGGGTATGTCTGCATGTGCAATTTTTAAATCAAAGATGAGTCATTCTTGAAATAACAAGAAGCGAAAGATGAATCTTATGTCATTTTAATTAGACTGCTACAGGACAGAACATTTCTAGATTTGAGTACATTGGATTATTAGCAATATACCACATATCCTGAATAAAGTTAAATGTTCATAAATGAAACAAAATATATTTGATTTTTTTTAAAAAAAGATTAAGAACATCAATAATCTAAACAGATCTTTTGACATGAAGAAAATATTAAAAAGGTAAGTGGTAAAGGAAAGATACTGTTTCTATTACTTGTCAAATAAACAGTGAATGAAGATGGTCTCATTTTGGTCTTGTCTCCGCTTTTTATTTATTTCTTTTTAGAATGATATAATTGATTGATTCCACTAGACACTAAATAAGTGGCTAGCTGTTTGGATGTGGAAGACCCTATAGATTAAACCAGATAACCTAATACTTTCAGATTTAAATCTGCACTAATCTATTCCAAGTCAATCTCTAGATATCATCTGACTTTAGCTGATTTGAAATATTTCATGGCTTGATTACATCAGGAGAGAGAGTTTTTTTAGTAGTGTTATAGAAAATTTGCTCACTATACTCCAGTTCTACTTATAATTTTCTTGTGTTTATTAATGAGATGAACTTAGTTTTTACTGTTCTGAAGACATTATCAGTTCTGTTTATAATCTTTTACTGACAAAAAGTTTGCTGTTTGCTTTTTGTACAATGTTGTTAAAGACGATGAAAGAAGCCTTACTTATCACTAAGACATAGTAGGCTTAGGCAACTAATTTGACGAGGTGTTTAAATTTTGAGTAAAACAAGCCCTCTAAATTTGCACCTCAGAGCTATAAAGCAGCCACCTGTAAGCCCAGCCAAGCTCATATATATGTAATAGAAAGATATAGATAGGTAACAGACAACAAATAGGTTACTAGCATAAATAGAATAGAGAAAGCATTTGAAAATATTTTTCAAAAATTT